GGTAGCAATGCTTTCTCGGTTAGTTGCCCCTTCCGTTGAGAAAGCTCCTAAGCTTGCCCGGGTAGGTGTTTTTGAACTCCCTAGTCAGAGAAGGGGTCCGGAATCACCTCAAGCAAGTTCTGGGAAAGAGCTTTTATAGCGTCCAAGATCTTGGTGGCCAGCTCTATCGGCTTCGGGTCGTGAATAGCTCCATAGAGCTGCGCTGCGGCTTGGCATTGATTTCGTGATGGCTTGTCTGCTGGATTTGAATACGAGCATACCCGTTCTATCCAAACAATAGCCGGGTAGCTGATCTCAATCTGCTGGATCACCCTGGCCATAGCTGTTAGGGTCGGTGACTGGGCTCCCCCTTTGCTGGCTGCAAACCTGGCAGCTTCGTTATCAACCCAAGCAATTATCCCTCGATTATTGAAGAGGTGTCTGTACTCGCATCGAGCAGCCAGGTATGCATACAGTTCGATCTGACAAATGATTTGTGATCCTACTTCTTCCGTCCAAAGGTGTAACATGGAGGACGGCACATCCACCTCCCGGACAATGATGTCTTTGGAATCCGGGTTGTAGAGCAGCATCCCTGCGGTGGCTTTTTGGTCCTCCCAGGCTCCGTCAGTGAAAAGCAGGAAAGGCTGCTTCATTGCCCCGGCTGAGAAATGTCGAGGAGGTAGTGAAGTGAGGATATATTCTGTCAGGTCGCATAGCTGGGCTAGCTTCTTGGCTGAGTGGGAACCCTGGGACGTACTCAGGGCGTCAAACTGACCAAGCACAAACCTCAAGGATTTGGAGGTGAAGAACCCTTGGGCGAAGTTCAGGTGTCCCTGAATCTCGGCTGCTTGGTTTCGAGTTACTCTGCCCTGCTGTTTCAACTGGTGCAGCATTTGGACTATCTTGGGCACCCGCCCTTCTTTGTTAGCCAAAACAAAGCGGCCTAGATGAAGTTCTTGTAGCCTTATTGTCACTCCCAAGGCGGCAAATTCATTGGCAAAGTCGGTGGCCTTGACTCCCACCTGCGCATGGTCCCACCCCAGTAGGTTCAGGATCAAGCTCATGGATTTGGAAACGAGGCTGGCTCCAAATTGCGAGCTGAGGGCAGGAAAATCATCGTAGAAGCAAGTACAAACCACATGCAAAAAGCTGCATAGTATATGGTGTATCGACCTGCTGATCCTATTGAAGGTGTAAACTGCAGAAGTTGCACCAAACGGCAGCCGTGACGTGGTGTAGTACTTCCACGGGTTCTCGTGGAAGTAGCCCAGAACGCACAGAGCCTGAGCTTCTGGACAAAGCGGTACCTGCTTGTAGGCTTTGCTCAGGTCCAGGGTGCGGCCCAGCCAATTTTGAGTTCTGGCAACCTCATTGACAGGTCCTTTCAGGCTGGCGGATTCGCCTTGTCCTAAGTCTACCCAACCAGTAGCGTGGGCATCTGCTATGGCAAGGAGGGCACAAGCTAAGACATCGATGTCGAGGAGCTGGAGCTTGTTGGTGGTGGTGTATGCGCTATTCAAGCCACTGCGTCGACAGTCGTCGATGACTCCAACCTTCGGGTTCTCTGCTGTACCTTGTTGTAAGGCAAATCTCTTGTTGAAGAGCCACGCACCTTTACCAAACCTTTCATCCAACTGTCTCTCTGAGAAAGGCCCTTCCAAATGCCCCAAGCTGACTTCTTCCATGGTGGCTGCATGCAAAGCTTGAGTATCTATTGCGTGCCCATCTTCAGAGTGCTTAACTTGCAACGCCTTGCGTCTCCAAACGGATGAAGCCAGTAAATCACCGCTGATGTCGTATCTGGCTTCCAGTCGTAAGGAAAAAGGGGGGGATGAGTTTGGTTCCCCCGTCAGTTCGGCTCCTTTTCTAACAATTTGGACTATTTCCATATCAGGAAATTTGGACGCCTTCAGAAGCGTTTCCCACAGGGCTATCCTTTTAGTACTAAGCACTTTGCTGACGGAAGGTGGGCATCCTTCTTTGACCTTGCTCTCTTCTTTTTCGAGGTCTTTCGCCATTTCTTTTATAGTTACCACCGCTCTCATCCTGCTCTTTGCTAGGTCAACTGGATCCTTTGCTAGGTCAACTGGATCCATGGTCAAGTTGTCAAAGATAGCTGCTTTGAGGGGTTCTGGCAAAACATTTTGAGGTGACATTGGGTGGTCTATTTTGGTGGCTGCCCGCAAGAATTGCTCTGGCTCTTGCTGCACTCCAACCCTGTAGGCCTTTTTGGCCTTCTTTTCTGGCTGGTCAAGGTCTTGCTGTTGGCTCTCGGTGTTTTCCCCCCGTATGTGAGAGGTGAGACATTTGTGATTAGGCTGCGTTGGCTGCTGCGTCATTTCCAAAAAGCTTGAAAACTCTGGCACCAAAGGGGGCGCCTGCTTGACATGGAGTCCCAGGATGCGCCTGGAAGTGCGTGAAGGTGTGGCTTGTATGGGAGGCCTAGGCAAATTCACGGCATCAGCAAGCAAGTCTGCCATGCGCTGGCACAAGAGATTGGGGTACTCGGCTTCTAACGCAGTATCATATTGGAGGGAGTTGCCTATTTTGGTGATACCCCATGGTTCATGAGGGTGCTCTTTGTCGCATTCTGCTTCAAGCTGTTTGTACAAACTTGGTGTGGCCAAAAAGACGGGTGTTTTTGGCTCTGCTACCTCCATGCATGCACATGTGAAATGTCACTCGGTCTAAACTTTCAAACCACTGCAAAAACTGTGCATCGTTGTATTCTTTTACCAACAGAGTCAATACCCCCCAAAGCCAACTACGCTCGGGATTCTCTATTGAAATCCTGATGCCATGCTTCCAGCAAATATACAAAAGTCGCACTCCCCATCGGTAGAGATCATTAGCCACTTGGACTTTGACTGCATGGGTACCTGTCAACGTTGGAAAACCTAACAAGTTGTGAGCATCTCGAAGTGGCGGTGGATCATGAAAATGCGCTTTCAAATGTGCTGGGAGAGGTTTATCCCTTGCACGGCTGCATGTCCCGCAAGGGAGACCCAGGTGGATTGCTGCCGGTCTGATTTGTATCACCATTGATTCGACCAAGGCTTGGCTTTTCTGATCCTGCAGGTTCAAACTTATTGTTGACACAGCCGTCTTATGCGTATTGAATTCATGGTCAACTGGAAAAACTGAAAAACCTCTCTTTTTCATGGCTGCCGAGAGGTGCCCTGATCCAGAGAAAATCTCCACAAAATAAATTGAATTTGCTGTGCACGGTGAGACTGTCGGCTGAGCTGTCGGGTTTCAGATCGAGGTGCACTCCACGGCGGAGTGGTTTTTGTGACATTGCTTTTTCCAGCACACATGGTATCCATATTGGCATCGCTTGCCGGGCTTCACGTTACCCCTGCAAGTCCCTATGTTGTATTTCATGCAGATTGGCTTTTGCTGCTCTCCAAACTTGATCTCGCAATTGTCTGGTATGCTGATCTTTCCTTTAGACTTGCCCTTGCCTTTCCCTTTGAAGTTCTTGTTCTCAGAGTCCTTGTTAATAGGCCTTGCTGGGCCCCCTGTTGCATTGGACTGGGGCTTCGGCGTTGTAGGGCTGGATGTTGGGGAAGGCATCGGCATGATGTGATACTGGATCTCTGGGTGTAGCGACCATTTTTCAATGGCCTCATCCACTGGATTGCGCAGTCCATTGCCCTGCACTAGCGACCTTGTGTCTTCAGCCACTTTCAACCATAGGGCCTTATCAGCCCTTAGGAGTTGATCATGGTTGACGTACCGAAAACCTTGGGGAGGCTCATGTTGCAGCTTCTCAAAAAGTAAGCTTGACCACTTTTCCAACACCAAAAAGGATGCCACGCCTGCCATGTCGTAGGCCAGTGCTCTACGCTGCATCGCTGTTCTCAAACGGAGGTCACCTGTAAGGGAACACTGCGCCAGTTCCTGCTTCTTGGTCACTTTGATGTTCCCAGCTGCATCAAAGGTGATGCTGGGAGACGTTTTCTCTGCCAGGACCTCTTGCTCCCGGCTGCTGCAAGAGGAAAGCTCTATGTAGCGCAAACTGTTCTCCTCCCACTGCTGCACTGCCTTGTCTATAAGTTGGTGGGACGGCTCCAGTTGTTGCGTGATCAAAAGACCTGGCAACCTTGCTTTTATTTGGTTGACTCGTTCCACCTTTTCTGCTAACGGCAGAACTTTGGCATCTGAATGCTCTGTGCGTTCCACCTTCTGCCTCAAGTCTTGCAAACACAAGGCATGGCTTTCGAAAAAGAGTCTTCTGAATTTGCCCAAGCTTTCACCTGTTGGAGCTACCCCCAGCGCGGCTTCTAAAAAGTTCACTAGAGGCTTTTCGTCCTGCTGTCCAGGTTGGTATTCACTGCAAAAAGCATATTTTGCAAACGTGTCAACTCCTGCCAGTTCCAAAGCATCTATGTCTTGGTTGGATATCTCGATCTGCGCAGCTCTTTGCAAAAACGCCACCTTGCTGTCCAGTGCCATCAGGGTCGGACGTGGTGGTAAATTACGAGGCTGTCATGGTCATTGTTTGTTGACTGTACGAAATGTTTGGTATCTGGCCTGAAGCATGCTGCCTTACGTTGCATGAAATTTGTTTGACTGCATGTTCATGATGAACTTTTGGTTCCTACCGATCTCCGATTGAGCCTCGCTGAGATGGCTGTGTGGCCATCGATTACCGGGTTGATTGAATCCCGGTCTTGGCTGCCACTGATCAACCACCCTGATTACGAGGAGGAGATGGAGGAGTGGTCATTGACAGGGGATGATTCGATGGCTTTGTATTATTACCACAGTCTGTCCCAAACGATTTTTTCTTGGTGAAAATTTTTTCCCCGTTGAAACACAGTGGTAAAGTTTTATGGTTGTCCTGTCATGGGATCGTCATGGAGTACTTATATTTTTGTTGAAAGCAAGTATTGTGGGTATCACAAGCTTTTCGAATTGTTGAGTATCAGCATTATGTTTTGGATTCCTTCTGGACTCCCTTTTAATACCTATTCCCAAAACTCCACGTGGATGTGTTTGTTTTTCACTTGCGCTCAGGTCTGGGCGTCGTGGTGCTTGACGACCGCGTTGCACTGGATACAGAAGGGGGCAGTTGCGGCATCAATCCATGATGGTTCCACAGGCTTCATGTTCACTGTCTTTTGCCGTCCACAGGCTAACCTGCCTGCTTCTTCTTCCTGGAGTACATGAATCGTACCTGTCAACTTGTGTGCCACAAACGTATACTCATCAGGCCCGCCTAAGGGCACCGACGGTCTGTCAGCCAGGTGGACCTTTGAATGTATCGAAGCCACTTCTGTATCTTCAATGTCAGATTCTGCTGACGTTTCGTCGCCATTGTCGGCCTGGTCTGTGTTAATCAATCTGCTCAAACGGGACGCCCTGGTTGCGTCAGGATCCATTTGTCCATGAATTATCCTGTCCAGCACCTTCGATACTTTGGCCTGCAGTAAAAGTTGAGAGTCCCTGTTGTACGTGGTAGCCGACTTTGTAGTGGGCTCAATGTGGTGTCCAACATAGTACGCTCCTCCCTGGTGAGGATGTCAGTCATCCCGCACCACGTTAGGATCGTGGGCTTGCATGAGTGTGAGCTGAATTGGGCAGCTGCTTCTGGTCCCAAAACGGGCTCCAACATTTCTTTCAAAAACAAGGACGCTTCTGCCGTTGTCATAGGCGACACAGACCAGGTCCCGCTCCTGTCATTCCAAGAGGGCAGAAAGCTTAGCCCCGTGTGAACCTTGATTTGGTTCAATGCACTGACAAAACATTCTCCCCAAGAATCGTCCAAAAAGAACCTTCCCAGAGCTGTGAACGGTAGAAGCCTTGTTTTAGCCTCCTTGCTCTTCGAAGTCTTGTGTCTGGACGTCTCGGCTTCGACCAGCACTAGGTCCCCGTATCTGTCGGTCCAGAGGTTCTCAAGTCGTGCAAAGTCTGACCATCTTGCAGCAGCAAAAATACAGAACAAAAGAGCACCTGAGATAGCTGATCGCAGAAGACTTGTATTGCTTGTGCAAATGATCTCCAGCGCCTTCACCGCAGCAACAGTAAGCTGAGGTGCCTGTTTGAGTTTCCTCTTTTCCAGGTACATTGCATGGGCCGCCCCTTGAACCCTGGGTGATAAAATGGTCCTGCAGACTGTCTTTTTGAATCTCAGCGTTGAGTCAAAGAAATTCAAAGCTTCCACAAGGTGGCTGGCTGTTGTCGGAGCAGCCTGGTTATCCCTGAGATAGCACATATAGGAGTACAGTTGATTCTCATCGATGTCCCATACCGTTGTCTGCTCGTTTTCCAGCATCCAGCCTGCTAGTGTCCACAAAGCTGACGTCCTTTTGAGGATCGTTGCAGTGGCCTTCTTGGCAAAGCAATCCTTGAGCACCTGTAAGACGTCTACTGACTCGTCCAAACCTCCTGCCAAGTTGCACAGCGTCAAACCAACTTCCGTCCCCTGTAGGTCCAGCAAAAGTAGGTTTTTGATCTGATTGAGACACCTGGCTAGCATCTCATCCTCTGGCACCACACACTTGGCAGCTGCAATGCGCTTCACTGCAAACTTTGAAATGGGACCCACTTGAACTGGCGTGTCTTGCTTTGTCAAAACTGCAGGTGCCAAGGTGTCAACCAGTCCTACTGTCGGCGGTATTAAGCTCTTGACCGATGGCACATTTGGCATAGGCCCTCCAAAAATCGGAGCTAACGGCCCTTTTTCCCAAGGCATCTTGATATCATGGGCCCTTACTCTTTGCATGGCTTCAAAGTTGGCTATCCTCGCAATGTTCTGTAACTGTGCTGGTTGAAAATCCTGCTTGTCATCGTGGGCATCTTTGGCACTACTGATGTCAGTCTTCTGTCTCTTTGCGTCTGGCGTCTCAAGAGTTGTAAACACATCTGACTGGGATCCTGGCACCGATTCTGAACCGTCGCCTCCAATGTTCGACATTCCATCGCACCTGGCCTGGCTTTGGGCACGCCACCTGGCTCTGAAACCTCTGGCTGTTGGGAGGTCGCTTGCATTGAAACGTGGTCCAGCTGATATGTCAGATCCAGCTGCCGTGTTTCCTTCAACAAAACTGTCACCCTCAAAAAGGGATGGCTGCGCATGATATTCAAACTCTGGCACAGTAGAAAAACCATCTCCGTCACCAAAATTGACATCTTGAAATTGATTTGATTCCACGCCATTGTCCAAAACTGGCATCGCAGGCACTGAGGCTCGATCTGTACGTCCCGGTGTTGACCCCTGTGAATTGGACGTCAAATGAAAATCAAAATTCATTGTCTGAAGAAGGCAAATTGAAAGAAACTGCACTGGCAACACTTGCAAGACTGGGGGCATAGACTTTGCGTTACGTCAAGGCAATGCTGTAAAGATGCATAGAGAGTCGATTCACCGACAGCAAATCTGAGGTCCACACACCTTGCTCCCCGACAGGAAAAAACCAAAAGCAATGCTGAAGTTCCAGTGCAATTCGTGTTCCAAGAAAACAAAATTGGCAATCTGATATTGGCTGAGTTGGTCGTGGGGCTGTTGCAGAGACTTCACTCCAAGGACAGTAACCACCAAAAAATGAGGATAAAGGCGGTTGTAAATCCTGCAGTAACTGAAAGTACGCAAGTGGTCCAAGGAAAGCTTGAGGTCACAGCCGGTTGGAAGGCAATCGGGGCACGAAGGAGAGTGCGCCCCCTATGAACGGCCCCTACCATCTCAGAAAATGAAACCCTTGAGGTTGGATAGCTACACGTATGACATAGTGAAACTGAAACCCCTGATGATGGTAAGCATCAACTGCACTTGTGAAAACGTGAGTTGTTGATTTGACCTTTGTCCATCATTTGGGTTTGTGTGAAAATAAATAAAACAGTTATTTGATTTGTTGTTTCAGTTTGGTTTGTTGTTTCAGTGTTTGCCGCAGAACTTACGCTTATAAATATGGATAGCGGAATCTACTTATATATTGTCTGTTAACGATCGTTTCCAAAACAGATGGGGCTTTCGCTTCGGGACTACGCTGTCCTGTTTTAGACATTGCGATCACTACGTGAAAGCACTCATCTCCGGCGGGTCCTTCCCACACTCAGCCATCATCCTCTTCTTGCAAGCCTGACAGATTGCATCAAAAGAGTCCTGAAGGACCTCGTCCATGAAAGAAACTTCACAGCACCGATCGGGCTTCACAAAACAGCCAGCCATGTGCAAACGTCGAAGTGCTGTCCTCCGAGAAATGGTGATGAAATACCTACGCTACACTAAATAATAGTAAAGTAAGAGGGGGACCAATTGAGGGGGAACTTACGCGATACCAACGCTAACCGCCAACAAACAACGCGCCGCCAAATTAACACCAAGAACACCAGCAGCAAACGAGTGAACATGTGACATCAAATGAAATGCACTGCATCAGAAAATCAAATGTGGCTGTTGCACTGAAACTGCAATGACACAAAAATCTCGATCAAGCCAGCCTCACCTTTTCTTTGCAATGGTGGTGAGATCTTACGCACAATCCTCTATGAGGAATGCCCAAAAGTTCAGAGAGCACAAGTTGAATCGTCGTGCACACAGCACTTCTCCAGACACGCACGAAAAGGTGGGAGTTGTCAACTCCTGCAAGTGATTGTTGTCATCCATTGTATTGAAAGTCCCATTGAACTCCATCGACTGAACCCCTCCAGGGGTATTTCCAGTGAGTATGATTCAGGGTTGTGCGCAAGGAACGGCCACAACCCACCCAATAATCAAGGGTGGGAAGGGCGGGACCTCATCTGAAATAAAGCCAGAGCTCCAGAAGCGATGTATTGTTGATCACTGAAGTGATGATAAACTGTTCCACTGAAGGTGAAGCGTCACAGCAAATGGACTACCTTACCTGCCTTGCAAACTGAAACTTTCAGTGAAAGTAAGAAACAGCAGTCCAAAGAATTCCAAAAATGTACAGCGGGAAATTGTTGGAGTACCGCAACTCAAATTTGCACCATCCAAGGGAAATACAGCAAATGCCAGCAAATAAGAAACCTGAGCAAACACAAAATGTTTCACCAGCAAATGACTCCGTCTGTCCAAATAAATAAGTTCCAAAACTTCGAGTTGTTTTGCAAGTCCTGCTGAAGAAACTGCTCACTGCCACAGCGATGATAGAATCCAGAAACCACCAACGTAATGATCCCCACCCTCCCACCCTACTATTACTTAGTTTCACATAGACACACTGGGCAAGCCCAGTGATGCCTACGCTACACTAAATAATAGTAAAGTAAGAGGGGGACCAATTGAGGGGAAACTTACGCGATACCAACGCTAACCGCCAACAAACAACGCGCCGCCAAATTAACACCAAGAACACCAGCAGCAAACGAGTGAACATGTGACATCAAATGAAATGCACTGCATCAGAAAATCAAATGTGGCTGTTGCACTGAAACTGCAATGACACAAAAATCTCGATCAAGCCAGCCTCACCTTTTCTTTGCAATGGTGGTGAGATCTTACGCACAATCCTCTATGAGGAATGCCCAAAAGTTCAGAGAGCACAAGTTGAATCGTCGTGCACACAGCACTTCTCCAGACACGCACGAAAAGGTGGGAGTTGTCAACTCCTGCAAGTGATTGTTGTCATCCATTGTATTGAAAGTCCCATTGAACTCCATCGACTGAACCCCCAACTTTAGTGGAGGAGATGGGACCGGTCCCCCACCTAAGCTCACCACGGCGACTTATCAAACTTCTTTGACTTGACCTTGGGAGCCAACTTGGCTGCCTCCTTTGCAAGTTGTTTGGCTTGATCAAATGCTTCTCTGGTCCGCACCATGTCCTCCAAAACTTCAAATTGTAAATCCTGCCATCTCACCCCAATCCGAAGCCCAGCGTCAAAACCAGTGAAATCTTCGTTAGTCAGTTGATCCGCCTCGGTGTTTTCATTTCTGGGCCTCCATTTCAAACCCAAGCTCAACCTTGATCGTGACAACGCTGACGACAGTTGCATGTTGATCCCCATAAGAGGCCACTTTGTCGTTGAGCGTTTCTCAGTAAGAGATTCATTCGCTCTGTTGTCTGTCCCCCCACATAGAGAGACTTCCAGGGTTCTGCGTCCTTTGCCAGGCTGTAACCAACCAAATAGTTGTAATGCCACCAGGGAAGCCAGCAGCTCAGCAGAGGTGGATGCCCACTGGGCACCAATGCCAGGTTTGAACAAGTACGGAACTTCCGCTTGTTCCAGCTTTAAAGAAAACCATCGCCTTGTATTCAATTCCCATCCAGCTAAAACCACAAACGTGTCTGTGCACTTGGCATCTGTCCGAAACTGATCACCCTGAAAATAAATCGGCCGTCGCGCTGAAACAAGAAATGTTTCGTTTGCAAACTCCCTGGAAATGTAACGTAATGTAAGTATCACCGTGTCAGGAAGGCGGCACACTGTGCCAGCTGCAGTAACCGCTGACCAGGAGAAGAGCGGCGCAAGATGGGGCTTAAGCCAAACCAACAGTTGAGAAATGAATCCAAGCCTCCCCAAAAATTCTGAAAACTCTCTCGCTTGCACAACATATCTGTTCTGCTCCGCTTTGTTGATCCATTGTAAAATCCAGTCCCCTCGCTTCACAGAAATCCCTACCTCGGTAAGGTCGTACCGTATTTGAAATCCAACAAACTCTGAAGCAAATCCTCCCTTGAACTTGTGATATCCGAAAGGCGTCCCAGCGGCCTCATACGCAAGCAACCAAACCCACAAATAGAGGAACTTCCTCTCGCCAGTGAACACCCCATGCAAGTCGTCAACATAAATCATATGCATGAACCAACGCTGATGAAACATGTATCCAATGAACCTCCCCAAGAGACCTGCAAGCTTGAACCACCAGTATGGCGCACTTGATATTCCAAAAGTTCCAGTCCTGTTCACCCAAATAGTGTCGGACTGTGAGTCAGCCCTGCAACACATGTATCCCCAATCTTTCTTCCTCACCTTCACCAGTCTGTGAGCTGCACGGATATCTGCACTTACGCAAAAGGGTGCGTCACCAGTCTCTGAAGTTTCCCTCACAATTGCCGCAATCTCTGCTGGACCTGGGCAATCAATTTTGTCCTGGTACTTGATAGCATGATTCACCATGACAGAATGGGTGGCGTCATGGAGTGGCCGAACACTGCCGTCTGGTTTCTGAATAGCCGCCATCGATGCTATCCTCAAACTGTCTCCGTACTCCTGTCTGAGCACTCCAATTTTTGACGGGTGCATCCTCCCAAGGGCCTCCTCCTCCCGGAACTTTTCCTCTAGTTCCTTGCATGACAATTGTGCTGAAGGATAATTCTGTGCAATGGCCGCAAACTCAGTGTCGTCCAAACGCCTATGCTTGAGTTTTTGATTGCATACTTGTGGGGACCTTGGAAGTGGTTTCTCGACCCCCAAACAGACTCCAGACGCAAATGAGTCTTCCTCCGCAACCAACCATCCCACATCCGGATCTTCAAAGACCCCAAGCCATTGTGCAAGTGCCCTCAGGTAAAAAGGCTGTCCACTGTCTATGACTGAAGCGTCGCGTGGATCTGAAAGTAAAGAAAACCACTTGGACCTCACCCTTGAAAGCGCCTCCTCAGTAAAAGGCGATTGTTCCAACTTCCCAGTGACCAGTCTGAAAGCTTCTCTACGCACATCAGTTATGGATGCCACCACGGCCTCCGCAAAAATTTCAAAGGTGTCATTTGCCAACTTCAACATGACATCGCTCCTACGGACCCCCCTTTGAGAAGGTCTCCACCTGGCAGGGCTGCAAAGACCAAATCCATCTGTGAAGTCTTTCTGACTCCTGTCCCACTCTACTGTAATCGGTCTTCCAGAGTTCATGCATGCCTTCAAGTCAAATTGAACATCACCTGCATCACCTTTATCTGCTTGAACATCCCTTGCATCAGCTGTATCTGCTTGAACACTGCTTGCCTCATCTGTATCTGCTTCCCAAAAATTTTCACCAGTTGTCAAGTCGACCACAGCCACGGAAGTTGATTTAGACCTTTTGGGGGGAGGAGTCTGCGATGACTTGTCAGTGTCTCCAAAAGGTCTCTTCCTGGTGCCAGATTTGTCCTTGTGGCCCCTTCCGAAGGATGCGCAAGCATTAAGGATCAAATCTGATATGAACTCACAAAGCTTTGCTGGGTAAGCAGCGCTGGGACTTGTGTTCCACTGTGCAGCCGTTTTTCCAATGAGTTTGTGTGTATGCACATGCCCACACTGCTTGGGCAGCGGTCCTCTGTAAAAACCAAGCTTGTCAAACTTTGGCAACGCAAGGTGACATCTATCATCTTTGACCTCCATGTTTGTCATGAAGCGTGTGGGCTTTGGTGTTGGTGCCCCAAATCTGCATTGGTGGATCGCAAAGGAAATGGCCCCGCATGCCGCAATGAGCTCAAGTACGTTGGGCCATTGCCAAATAGACCCTGGCTGCTCACCCTCAACAGTCCCTAAATCTTCAGGATGCTCTAGTATGAAAAATCCGTCTGCATCTGCAACAACATGACCAGCCTTGACGCATCTATCCACAAATGAGTTGGCCTCTTCAACCTTGGCCATGTTTGCTGAGCTCAGCCATGGGAAGCCCCGTGGCCACGTACGTGTCCTGAGTGGCTTTGGTCCTGCATATTGCCTCTGTTGGAACCGTGCTCTGCTGAATGTATTGCATGGTGGTGAGACAATCAAAAACCATCTGCCCTCTCCGAGGGTGTTGTAAATCTGATCCCATAAGGATGTATCTGTAAGGTCATGTTGTGGCGACCTTTCAATATCAAATTCATGCAACTCCAACCTGATCCGTCCATCCGCCTCAGCTTTCTTCAAGGAGGCTGCAACGTCTGAATGGCGACGTTTCCCAGCAAAAAGGTATACCACCCGCACGAGTGGAGGTTCAGCCTGTGCAGCCCTGCTGGGTGGAGCTGCACCAACGTCCTGTCAGGACGCGCTCTGTGACTTGGAGTGGTCTATTGCCTTATGAGTGCCGTAGCAACCTTTGACTCGACACTGGTGAACTCGATTGCAAGACCCATCACACTCACCATTGTTCCAGGCGAAGCACAACTCTCTTCCGTCAGGTGTCCTCCAAGCTAGGCTCAACCCCTTCATGCGGGGATCCACTGTCTTTCCCTTTGATTTACCCTTTGACTGTTTGCCTTTGCCCTTGTTGAAGCCAAAGGACTGTTTTCCAGTGAAGCCACCCTTGCTATTGAACCTCTGCCATTTGTTGGGCTGATGCTGAGTGTCTGACATCGCCGACTTCAGGGCCACCGGCGTAGTGAAGTAAGCTTCTTTCAGGTCAGGGTCACGAATAACTGAAAGGAGTGCATCTGATAAAGTGTGCCCCTCTAATACACGTTTCATGGCTTCCTTCCTCAGTTTATGCTCGTAGGAAAGAACAATGGACCAATCAGGTTTCACCTTCTGTTGTCCAGTTTCAGTTGAAGAGGTGGGGATCTGAATCCCAAACACGCGATCCCCCAAGATGAACTCAGTGAACTTCTGAAAGGGTTCGGCTGTAAGACCATGCAACCAATGCTTTGCACGATACCTGGAAGCCATGCAAAGCCAAGCATATGTTTCAACTTTCATGATTTTTCTGAACTCCTCAGTTGTAGTTGGCATCTTTCCCTTAGTTTTCGTCCTGGTGACCCGAATATGGCCAGAGGAATCAACTGCCGACTGAATCTGTGAGTTTGATGAAGCATGCTTTGAAAGGATCTCATCTAAGGGTGCAGCTGTCGGTTCATTGCACTCCGTCTCCTCCGCCTTGATCGAAAGGTAATCTGTCGAAGGGCATTCCTGATCGCCTAAGACACCATGGATGGCCTCCACAGCACGTAACATTGCTTGCCTCTCATGTATCTGAAGCACCCTTGGCTGTCCTAAAACCTTTGCTTCTGCCTTCAACTCAACCTCTTTTGCAAGGTATTCTTTCGAAGTTTCCCATGCAGCCACAATTGAAGCAATCTGTGAACGGTGTTCAGGAGTATCCTGTGGGATTGCAAAGTCTTGTACACATGCAGTCCTAATCGCTGCTCGATCATCACCAAGCGCACTGAACTTCCTAAGATTGCCATAATGGCGTGCGATTCCAACCTGATGTTCAAGGTTCACACCAGCTTCACCCAAAATGAATTGCAAGTCTGAATCCATGTTCGTTTGGACAAACTGTCTCTGTGCAGCTGGGTCCATGGCTCAGCACTGTTGGCTATTAAGGCCACGGCGAAAGTGAAAAGTAACTTGAAAAGAACCAACAAACCAGCCCGAAGCCTAAAACCTGGCAATTGGGTCGAAACATTTCTGCCCTGGCCACAAACCTGGCATTGGGGTCACAGGGGGAATGAAACAGATGGAACAACAAGACAAGGTTCAAGTTTTGTGCAACCCACACATTGAAATGTCACAACAATTGTTCTGTCTGATGGCACCCGGAGGTCTGAAACATCGTAAAAAAATTCAGCGGCATGTCCAAACATGCTGCTTCCATCCATCTTGCGTCCAAACGCAAACCACTCCCCCAATCGATGCAATAACATCAAGATGCTGTCATGACCTGAATGCCACCTGCCTCATAACTGTTGACATGTGATTCTGAAAACTGCCACATCAATGAGAAATGAAAGCACGACCTCGAAACCTAAGAAGCCTAACAAAAGAACCAATCAAAAGAAGGGAACATCATCAACAACCGACAAGCGAATGAGGCAGAGAAAGAAACTGTTTTCCTGATGATCGGACCAATCCAATCACATAGGCACTTCGCCCGCATCGCTTTCAGAAGCGGTGGATGAGGAGGAGGCTGTGGACGAGGACTGATCCCCTGCCTCCCTCCCACATTCAGACAGCATCCGTTTCTTGCAACCCTGGCAAACCGTATCGAAATCATCACTGTTCACTTGATCAAGGAAAAGCACTTCGCAACACCTGTCGGGCTTGACAAAGCACCCGCTGAGATGCAGACGTCTCAGGCACGTCCGTCTGGATATTGTCACAAAATACTTTGACTCTTCTGATTGAGCCAGGGTCTCCTTCTGTGCCAGCAACGCAACCTTCTCAGGCAATCCAATGTCGCCTTCTGCATCATCCATCACATTTGGCCAATCACCCTCAGCCACTTCCAAAGTGGGGAAGATGCCCCCAAGTGAATGCCTCCCAGACCAGTTGCCCATGACAGTGTGACGCTTCCGAATCCTGTTTGGATTGGCTCCTGCGCTCTCCGCTGCATCGCAGAGCTTTTGAATGGCCTCGTCCTCATGGTATGGCTCATCCAGCCCTTCCACAAGACATCTGTTCACAGACCTCTGGATCTTGAAGACGACCTGCCTGGCTGTCCGCACATACTCTTCTGATGAAACCATCCCCATTGACCATCTCCCAAGATATGCTCTTTCATCCCGGGAAAATCCAACCACAGCAGCAACTGAAGTGAGAAAGTTTCGAGCGCTGTGGCCAGAAAAGAAACTCTCCAAACCATCAGGCAAAAGCAGCACATGTGGCATGGGTTCCCAACCCAATCCAGACCGACGAGGGCAGGATAATCGCCCAAGAAGCTTGCTGATCAAAGAGCTCAGCCCTGCTGGAGGCACAAACTTCCTTCTGACTTTGCGCCAGTCCTTGGATGGCTCCATGACCCAATAGTCCCGCTGGAAACTGAACTCTTCGGTCTCCCAAATGTCGAAACCTGCCCTCAACCAATCTTCACCAGTCAATGACGTTGTCCTGAACACATGAACTGCAACCTCCTTCTGAACCTTGTCAGGACCTGTGGTCTTCGATTTGCCCAAGATGAGCTTCAGCCCGTAATTGGAGAGAAACGATCTCTTCGGAATGGCAGCTTGAACGTCATCACATCTCATGGCACCCCAAACCATCACCAGCAAGACCCATGAAAGTGCCCTTGCAAAAATGGGCTCTGTATTGTCCATCACCAAAAGTTCCAGTGCAATGAGGATCGCCACAGTGAACATCTCAGCAGGTTTCCTCGGCGCTGACTCCTCGCAGAGCTCTGCTGTCCACGACTTGATGTGCCCTCTCCACAGTGGGTCATCAGAAATCTTCAGGGTATCAGGCACCCGCCCAAGTTGCTCCAACATGGCCAGAGTGATGGAAAAGGACTCTGGCACTGTCCTTCCGCATCCATCATCCACACGATGCTGCATGTAGTCGATCACGTCTTTGACTGACTTCGGGAACAAATACCCCCTGTGAAGCTCCAACCACTTCTCAAATGGTTTCCAAACCTTGTACCGTGACTTCAAGGTGTTTGCACGCCTCGCCGCAAAGATATGAATCCAAGCTGCATTAGGGTCGTCAAGGGCCCTCACCAAAGCGACCACCGGCAGATCGGCGTTGATCAACACCTGTGCCAACAGCAAAGAATACTTCTTCCTCTCAGACTCAAATTTCCGTGTACGGACATCTGGAGGGTCTTCACGATACTTCCGTTGCTTCCTCTTCGAATGCATCTCCAGAATGCACTGAACGCTCGTCTTTGTCAAACGTTGGAACTCGTCATGAATATTCAAATTGTTGGGTTGAGGCAGCACAAACATTGCAGAACTAACCACATCCCTCCGAAACCTCTTGAGTGGCCTAGCCATCATGGTCTTCCAATGCATCAAGATTGCAACTGTGTCATGAAGCTCCTCAGCCACCATATGAGGGAACTCACTCTCAAGGATCTCCTGGCACCCGTCCTCATCGTCGAATGCTGCGTCCAAACGCCATGGAGACATGAAAACTCTCTGTAAGAAAGACAGGACACCATCATCGACCCTAGGCCACTCAACGTCCATATGAAACCATGGAACTACGTCCAATTGCAAATTGGAAAGGTGAAAACGCCCCAACCTACCTCATCTGAAATAAAGCCAGAGCTCCAGAAGCGATGTATTGTTGATCACTGAAGTGATGATAAACTGTTCCACTGAAGGTGAAGCGTCACAGCAAATGGACTACCTTACCTGCCTTGCAAACTGAAACTTTCAGTGAAAGTAAGAAACAGCAGTCCAAAGAATTCCAAAAATGTACAGCGGGAAATTGTTGGAGTACCGCAACTCAAATTTGCACCATCCAAGGGAAATACAGCAAATGCCAGCAAATAAGAAACCTGAGCAAACACAAAATGTTTCACCAGCAAATGACTCCGTCTGTCCAAATAAATAAGTTCCAAAACTTCGAGTTGTTTTGCAAGTCCTGCTGAAGAAACTGCTCACTGCCACAGCGATGATAGAATCCAGAAACCACCAACGTAATGATCCCCACCCTCCCACCCTACTATTACTTAGTTTCACATAGACACACTGGGCAAGCCCAGTGATGCTTCCCCAAATGCTGTGATGCCAACGCTTCCTTTGCAGCATGTGAGGCGACCTTTTCTGCCAGGTCCATCTCAGTGCCGTCTCTGTCATCATTCTCATCCCAATCGTCTGGCAACACCTGAAGAGTCGGGTAGACTCCACCAAGGCAGGGTGATCCACCAGGTACTCCGTACACCAGCACCGAGTGCCTCTTTTTGATCCGATTGGGATTTGCCCCAGATGCTGAGGCAAACTCACAAAGCTTGCCAGTGGTCTCATCTTCATGAAATGGGTCACCTGATCCATCAACCAGGGACCTGTTGACGGCCTTCTGGATCTTGAAAATCACCTGGCGGGAGGTGCGCACATACTCCTCAGAGGACACCATCCCCATGCTCCACCTTCCAAGGTATGCCCGCTCATCCTTGGAAAAACCCAAGGCTGCAGCCACTGAAGTCACAAAGTTCCTTGGACTGTGCCCACTGAAAAATGACTCAAGCCCATCCGGCAGCAAATGCTGTGCCGGCATCAGTTCCCAGCCCAGGGCGGTTCTCCGCGGGACCGCAAGGCCTCCAAGGAGCTTGGAGATTGCACCGCTCAGTCCAGCGGGGGCCAAGAACTTCCTTTTCACTCCAGTCCATTCCTTGTTGGGCTCCATCACCATGTAATCACGCTTGAAATTGAAAGGGTCAGCAGACCAAATGTCAAAACCCACCCTTAGCCAATCCTCTCCAGTAAGTGAAGTGGTCCTCAGCACGTGGACTGACACCTCCTTCTGGGGCTTATCAGGGCCCGTTGTTTTCGAACGCCCCAAGACCAAACGCAATCCAAAATTGGACAAGACAGACCTGTGAGGCAGTGCGGATTGCATGTCATCGCACCTCATCGCACCCCACACCATGCACAAGACAATCCAAGAGAGCGCACAGGTGTACAACTGTTCAGCTTCGTCAACAATGGTCAGCTCCAAAGAAATCAACATTGCGACTGTATACATCTCAGCAGGCTTCCTGGGTGCTGCATCTTCAGCCAACTCTGCCGCCCAGGACTTGATGTGTCCAATCCACAGTGGATCCTCTGAGATCCTGACATCACTGGGGACTCTCCCAAGCTGCTCAATCAAAGAAATGGCCGCATGCAATGATTGGGGAACCGTCTTCCCACAACCGTCATCCACTCTATGCTGCATATAGTCGATGGCATCCCTGACCCCTTTGGGAAAAAGGTACCCACGGTTCCATTCCAACCACTGTTCAAAAGGCCTCCAAACCTTGTACCTATTCTTCAGGGTGTTCCCACGCCTTGCAGCAAACAAATGCAACCAGCCACTCCGAGGGTCCTCCAGCGTTCTCACAAGCTCAACAATAGGGAGTCCGGCTTGGATGATAATCTGAGCCAGCAAATTTGAATACTTCCTGCGCTCCGCTTCGAACCTCTTTGTCCGAGCATCAGCAGGGTCTTCTCTGTATCTCTTCTGCTTCTGTTTGACATGCATCTCAAGAATGCAAATTGCACTCGTTCGGGTGAGCCTAGAAAATTCCTCCTGCACAGTGAGTTGTCCATGCAACGGCAGCCGAAACAAAGCGCCTCTCACCACCTCTGCACGTGCGCGCTTCAAAGGCCTGGCCATCTCCTCCTTCCACTGTGACAGGGCTGCAACTGAATCCAGCATGTCTTCAGGGAGAATATCAGGGAATTCAGATTCCAGTAAAAGAGCACTTTCTTCATCATTGTCAAAAGCATCATCTAAGCGAAGTGGTGTCACGAAAACCCGCTGCAAATGTGAAAGAATCCCTTCATCCAAATCAGGCCACCACTCAGTCATGGCGCAGGAGCCCGCCCCCCACCTACCTACGTCCAACCATTTGTTGGAAAGGCAAAGCGCCCCACTACCTTCAGAAAATTTCAAAGCCAGAGCTTCAGAGAATACGGAGTGACCTTGAACTCCAATGAAGTGATAACACACGGGTTGAGTGAACCTGCAAGAATTTGTCGAAATGCCACATCACTGAAAATAAACTTGAATCGCAAAACCATAAACTGTCGAAACATCCAGGAGCAGATCAGATCAAACTGTGAAAATGACAGCACTGAAAACCAACACATTGAAAATGAAGCAGCGACTGAAACGAACTCAAAGCACTGGAATGCAACTGCCAAATCGAAAACTGAAAATCCAAGACATCCAAATGGAAACGCCAGCAGCCTGAAGAAATAAACGTTGTTAGCGAGATTGCAATGAATGTCCAACTGGACAGAAAGGAAGGAAGTTTAGAAGTGGAACTTCCAACTTGGCAAGAGACCTTCCACAACCCCACCACCACCCGACCAACGCAGAGTTCCACATAGACACATTGGGCAAGCCCAATGATGCATACTATTATTCTTTAACCGGATGATACTGAACTCCGGGCGACATACACAACCCGACCCGCAAAGTTGCCGCGTTAGGAGTCTAGGGGGGCGAAGGGGGGGAGCCCAAAAACAAACAACGCATCAAGAGACCAAAACAAAACTGAGCAGTGCGACGCCCAATCGTGACAAAACGATCCACTGCCAACGCAAACACAGAAAAAGCATCCCGCCAACAATGTCGCAGCGGAATCAGCACCTCACCCACGCCATGTTGCGAAAGCCTGCGACAACAACACCCAAACAATTCCAAACAACATGGTGCTTTGGCAAAGACTGGCGACATGCAGGCGGGGCTAGAGACCTTCAATCAGCAACCGTGTTCCCCGGAATCCTGCCATTCCGTTACACTTGCAAAAGTATTGCTTTTTGGTAAAGCTGCGCCATTTTTCGCAAAAAAAGGTCACTGCAGCAATCTCATTTGCGGAAGGTCACCTCAACCTTCGAAACCTACTTGGGTCAGCGTCCAGGACGTCGTCCTTAACTCACTAAGACCGTCCACGCAACCAAGTCAAACACTCCCAGAGCTCAGCCACTTTTACCAAACACACAAGCACAGAAATGTCTGCTCATGTCGCTATGGTTCTTGTTGGTGTGTCACGCCTTGACACAAAATGATGCGGAGTCGCCAGTTGACATGTTTCTGTCAACTTCACAAAAGCGATCACAAAAACACATGTCCTCACAAAAAGTCTTTACATCAAGACATGGTTTGTTTGTTTAAATAAGTTTGAGTGTTTGAAAACTGTTGAAACATTTCAAGCACCAAAACATGATTCACGATGTCTCCCTCAGATCTGTTAGCAACTCCAGTTCTGAATGCCTTTCAGAATGTTGCTCTCGCTATCATCATTGAGAGACAAAACAAACTAAACTTCTCCGATCAATGTCAAACAAAGTTCCTCCTTCCGAAGTCACAAAATGAATTCTACGATCTTCTCACGATTCCTTCGTGCACTTCGTCGACGACAACTAACACAAAAGGTATGGAAAATGGTTTGATTTTCCATGTCACTATACAAATTCAAATCCTCACAATGTTCTCCGTGCAATCAAAGTACTCAAAGAAGACGAAAAGTATATCGTTGTTGGGTTTCGTCATCTCCAATAAAACGTGCAAAACATAAAACGTGCAAATACGATGTCAACCATCACGGTTGAGCTCATCATCAAGATGAAAACCAAATTCACTTCTTCCAATGCAGAAAATACCAAATGGATTCATCTCACCACAGATGTCACACAATTTTCACACCCCCTTTTGAGATGAACTCCATTCCATAGGTATACGCTGTAACCCATCCATACTTCAGCACATATCGCCCAAGTTCGACAGGTCAATACATAAGAGTCCCTTCGGCTAAGGGCTACATAGTGACCACTCATCCAGTTCGACAATCCTGCAAACTACAGTTGTCCACATAGAATGAGATCCTGTATAGATCCAACCACCATCACAATGTCATCAATCACAAAACTCTCGACGCAAGGTAGTTCCTGCATAGAATGGCACATTACCCGCTCTGCAGTCCACCAAGTCTCGGGCCTTAATGTACCTGGACCAATCCCAGGCAGGACCCTTCGCTGAGTCTTTCGTCAAATGCTTTCGACACCATGAAACATAGCTGGGATCTTTCTCGAAGACAGTCTTGTAACTTATCTTCTCCTTCTCATACTTTCCAAATGCAAACTTGGTCTTTCCCCACATAGCCATATTTGTAATACCAGCTGGAAGCAAGGCCTTTGTGGCCAAATCTTCGGTGCCTCCCACGGGCTCCATGAAACTACTTCCAACCACCCAATCTGGCTCTGTGTCGACCGCAAACTCTGCATCTTCAATTCTGCGCTTTGATGCATCGGTCATTGCACCACTAGATTCAGTTGTCGGCAAAGGCATCTGAGAAGTACGACGCTGTGCCAACTGCTGAAACATCTGCTCATCCTCAATGCTCCAATTGGATGATGCCATGGCTGCAAAATCAAACCGCGTCCGGTGGTGAAAAAGCACTAGACCGTGGCTAAACTCTTAGGAGCAATCAACCTAGAGCGTGAAACGAAGTGTCGAACCGCCATCACTGTCGTGATAGGATCAGTGACCTTTCAGATTGTTCTGCGCTGCGCACACACACTGCATCTCACAGCATCGCGCAACAAAACTCCGCACAAAATGAAACACGGTGAAAACTCCTGTTTGTCTTTGGCAACGTTTGTTTTGAAAAACAACGTGCAAACAGAAATGAAACGAAATGTGGATCCAACTTCTGTCTCTCTCTCTCTCTGTCACAGGGCCCCCTTTCAAACGCAAATTCAACTCTTCTTCGAAGCATGTTTGACTGCAATCAAAATGTATCTTGCCAACTTTCGGTTGTAAAACGCTGTTTCAGTATAGTTGATTTGATAAAGTTCTGCATGAGTCTGGCATGTACATGTAGAAAGCTTGGAGTGGAGATATCTTATAAGAAACAACTTAGGTGCATAAACGCAGGCATACGCCAACTATACCTATGCATATATGTATAATTATGAATATATGCATATAGGTAAGTATACGGGATACGCAAATACGCCGGAAATCAAACATGGAGAAAAAGGAGGTCGCCGAAGAACGAAATGAACATGCTCACATCACTGAAATGAAATGTCTGAATGGAGTTCCGTGCGGCCTTTCACTTTTTCTGCTTGCTCCTTGGTCTGGGGCGTTTTCACAACTAACGGTTTGAGCTTTGCTATGCAGTTGCTGGATCTGCATTTACTGACGATGTCCAGGTGACTTTGTCAGCTGGCATTTCGTGCTTGGTGCTCAGGTGTTGTGCCCCCCACCACAGGGATGGGAGGGCGGGCCAAAAGAAAAGAGGTTGTGAAGGTGGAACTGTTGTCTGTTTTCTTTTTTTAACCCACCTCAACCTCACCCTTGAGAGGATAATGGCCATGTCGAAATGGAAATGGATTGAGTTCATGAGAGAACATGGTAAACTGTGTGTTGAAACGCAAGTTGGAAACACAGTGTAAAAATTTCCTTATGAAAAATGAAGTACGCAACAGAGCAAATGATTTGCATGATGTTGCCAAGTACCAGGTTTTGCACCTAAGGAAAAATTTGTTTGAGTGTTGGGTTCAAATTTTTAAAATTGTTTCCTTCAAAGATAATGCTCTCACTTCGTGATAGCACTCATCTTATAAGAAACAACTTAGGTGCATAAACGCAGGCATACGCCAACTATACCTATGCATATATGTATAATTATGAATATATGCATATAGGTAAGTATACGGGATACGCAAATACGCCGGAAATCAAACATGGAGAAAAAGGAGGTCGCCGGAGAACGAAATGAACATGCTGACATCACTGAAATGAAATGTCTGAATGGAGTTCCGTGCGGCCTTTCACTTTTTCTGCTTGCTCCTTGGTCTGGGGCGTTTTCACAACTAACGGTTTGAGCTTTGCTATGCAGTTGCTGGATCTGCATTTACTGACGATGTCCAGGTGACTTTGTCAGCTGGCATTTCGTGCTTGGTGCTCAGGTGTTGTGCCCCTGTGGAAAAGGAGAGCAGCACTAAAAGGTCGTTCATGGAGTCCAACTATTGTTGTGGCAAGTTCGGCAGTGGCGTCCACAATGCCCCCATCAGCAACATTGAAGCGACGCATGGCTTCACTCAGTTTATGTCGCGATGGCAAATCTCCAGGATTGGAGAATGAGCATACGCGTTCCGTCCAAGCAAAAACTGGCCATGCCACTTCCATGTCTGCCAGAACTCTCGTGAGAGCCCTCATGGTTGGAGACGGGCTCGACGCCTTTATTGCACAAACTCTTGCAGCTTCGTTGTCGATCCAAGAGATTAATCTTCGGCTTTCAAGTCGCTCACGGAAATGCCATCTGATTGCTACGAGGGCCCAAAGTTCGATCTGAGAGATGATTTGCTCACCTGCATGCTTCAACCAGTGGGCAACCAGCACGTCGGGTACAATTATGGTGCACCCAATGCGAAAATCTCCATCAACCAGAATGGCACCTGCAGATGCTTGGCCATCTTCCCAAGCACCATCCGTGAACAAAAGTATTGGCCTTCTTTCACCTGTGGTTGAGTGAGTCCTCGGGCCCAAAGAAGTCAGCATAGATTTGGCATACGCACAAAGGTCTTGGAGCTCCCCGGACTTTGAGAGGCTAGCGCGGTCAGAATAGGGCATGAAGGCTGCTACCAAGTGTTTCAGGGCTTTCCCAGAAAAGAAACCTATGGCAAAGTTAAGAAGACCCTGCAACTCACTGGCCTGTGCCGCAGTGATCTCTCCTTCGCTCTTGACCTTGTCCAAAAGAGCGCATAGCTTTTCGATCCTCGTAGTTTTGTTGGTGACCTGCAAGATCCCCTTTGGAGTCCAAGCAAGGTTGAAGTTCACGCCCAACAAGTCAAAGGCACCCGCAAACGCTGAACGCAAGAGAAAGCACCCTGCAGCCTGGGGCTCTTTCCAAAGTGGGGAAGTCATCAAAGTAATGGCTTGACACTGCAGATAGCAGCCGAGTCACTATATACCATATTGCCTGTGACACCCTCACAAAGCCATACACGCTACCAGTGCAACCGAAAGGAAGGGAGATACTTCGATAGAATCTCCAGGTGCCACTCACAGGAAATCCTACCGCCGCATGTTTCTGGTGGGCAGGAAGAATGGCAAGTTGTTTGTAAGCCTTGCTAAGGTCGAAGGTCTTGCCCATCCACTCATCACCTGAAATGCCGGCTGCCGCCGATTCTGACATCAAAAACAAGACCATGTTAGCCGCATAGTCCACATCCTGGAGCTGCAACTTGACGGTGGAACTGTAAGCTGCATTAACCGAGCTCTTTTTTGCATCATCTATCACTCTGATTTTGCCGCCAGTTCCCTGGAAGAGGACAAAACGCGGGCTGAGGGACCAGTCCTCAGTTTCCAACAAAACGGAAATTTCCTGTTCTGAATACGGCCCCTCCAAAAAACCCTTCGCCACTTCTTCAGCCGTGGTCTCGAGGAGAGCGGCTTCCTCTTCAGGTTTAAAGCGCTTGGATTGACACATCAGAGACTTACGCCTCCAAGCTGCTGACTGTATCAACTCGTCCTCTGTGATGGATGCTGGCACCAGCTGCTCTCTGTATCCATTAGGGGCCGCTTGCAACCCCACCAGAGGAATTCCCTGTTTCAACAGGGAAACAACCTCCATATCCCAAAAGCCAAGCTGTTTGAGGACGTGCTCAAAAAGGATGATGTTCTTGGACGCTGTGCATCTTTTGACATCTGGGTGCATTGTGTCCTTGAGTGCCAACTCTTGGCACTTCAGTTCGTCTGTCAGTTTACGCAGGTTGAAAACGGTGGCCAAGCGCTCCTTTGCCAAAACCATAGGGTCAGTTCTGACCACTTTCTTGATAGCATTCTTTGTAGCTTCATGCAAAAAGGATTCATTGTCCATGGGGTGAACAACAGCTTCAGCTCTAGTCAGGAACTGTTCGGGTGTATGCCACACCCCATATTTAAACTCCTTTCTCGGTCTCTTTGACTTGTGTTCCTGTGTTCCTTCTGGCTGCTCAGTGCTATGGTGCCCCTGTGAAAAAGGAGCTGACAGGAGTTTATGCGATTCATGTTGAACGGGAGCATCTGTTTGAAAAACCGTTGCATACTCTGGAATCAACGGCTCATGCCGCAAGGTCTGATGCCCCAAATTCAGGTTGAGCAGCTCTTTCAAGCGTGGTTGAAGGCTTGGGATAACACCCATGCTTGCTGCTGACTGTCGCACACATTCAGCCATGCGGTTGCATAGCAGCGGAGGATATTCAGCCTCCATCGCTGTTGGAAAAACAACGCCATGCTCGCCACGGAAAGGTTGCCAGGACGCATGTTTATGGTCCCCAGAGCAGTCAATCGCCAGGGTGGAAAAAAGGTCGCTCGTGGCAAGCAGTTTAGTGCGCTTGTCCCTTGAGCTGCCATGCGCACAAGCATCAAAATAAACTGCCTCCAGCTTCGAAAACCATTGAATAAACGGTTGATCCTGAGTTTCATGAACCAGGAGCGCCAGCAACGGCCACAGCCAGGAGCGGCCAGGGTTCTCAATGGATACCAGGCAGCCCAAAACAAAACACAGTTGCAGAATGACAATTGCAGCGCGGTAGAGCTGGTTTGCCAAGGTCACTTTGGTTAGGTCAGCCCCACAAAGGTGAGGCAGACCCAACAAGTTGTCAGCATCCCTCAAAGGTTGAGGGCCCATGTGCCCGCCCATGCTTTTTGGCATGGGCTTCTCTCTTGCTCTTGAACACGTCCCGCACGGCAAGCCCAGGTGTATATAACATGGCTTGACAAACTTAATCATTGACTCCAGTAACTGCAGCTGCTGCAGATTTGAAACATCCAAAACCAGCGTTCTAACCTTTGGTGAGTGCCGGTTGGCCGCGTGGTCGATTGCATGGACATGGAAACCCAAGCTCCTTAAGGCGGAAGACAGTCCCGCTGACCCACAACAAATTTCTATAGTCACTGGTTGCAAGGTGAAAGCTGCATCCTCCACAAAATGTGCAGGGGTGAAATCCAACTGCTTCGTCGTTTGCAAGTGTCAGATTGGGCACTCATTGCCCGGGTGGTTTTTGTGGCATCCCTTTTTCCAACACATATGATAACCAACCATGCATCTCTTTCCTGGCTTGACCTTCGCAGTGCATCGTCCAATCTGCCAACGCTTGCACAACTGTTTGCCGTCGACAAAAATCTCACAATTGTCTGGAACTTGAATCCCAGGACCCCTTTGATTTGCCTTTGCCATGTTTGCCTTTGCCTTCTGAGAAATGTTGACCTTTTCCTTTTGCTGCATGGGAAAAGCTCACCCCTTGCTCGGGTCTAGACTACGCGCTGCTCTGTAATGGACACATGTGCTGCAGTACTTCAGGGTGCTCAGAAAACTTCTGAAAGGCTGTGTCAAAGGCCTTTGGGTCACCAGTTTTGGGCTGAAGCTGTCCTCTGGTTTCGTTTGACAACTTAACCCAAAGAGCCGTGTCAGCGTTGAGAATTTGCTCAGCTGAAATACTGCGGTAATTGGCCAAAGGGGCCTCATTCATCTTCTCAAACAGCTTCTGCGTCCACAAGTCCATCACTGAAAAGGTGCCAATCCCAGCTAGGTCGTAGGCAAGGTTCCTACGTAAGAATGCCTGTCTGAGGCGGTGTTCACCTGTCACGTTTGTATCTTCCAACTTTTGCCTTTTGCTGAGTTTCAGGCTCCCTGACAAGTCCAAAGACAATGCAGTGTCTGTCTTGGCATGCAAAGTTTCATCTTGTCCCGAAGTGCATTTCTGAAGTTCAATGTAGGACACAACGTTGTCATCAAGTTGCTGGCACACCTTGTCAATAAGGCTATGTGAAGGCTCTGATTGCGGGGTAAAACTTATGCCAGCAAGTCGCTCCTTTTGGAGCCTGATCCTATCCATCTTTTCTGCCAAAGGAATGACCCGAGCTTCACTGGACTCAGATCGCTCTGCCCTAGATTTCAAGTCTTCAAGTGAAAGTGCATGCGCTTCGAAAAACAGCCTACGAAACTTCGATGCAACTGAAGCTGAAGGCTCGGCTCCCAGCGTTGTGGTCAAGAAAGCTGTCAGGGGTGCATCGTCAGCTTGACCAGGTTGAAAATTGCAACAGTAAGCATAAGTAGCATAACTGGTTATGTTGACTCCTTTCAGCGCATCAATTTCAGCTTCCGTAATTCCAAGTTCCAGTGCACGAGTTGCGAAAGCAACTTTGGAATCTATTGCCATTGAGCTCGCAACCGGGTGCCCAAGGAGGGCCAGCTGAACAAGTATAATTTGGCTATTGATGCCAGTTTGGAAATTCACAACAAATTAAAGCTGTGTTTTGGGGGGATTGAAGGATAGGCGGAAAACCAAAACACCTGAGTGTCGGCTGGAGTGTGACAAAAACGAAATTTTTCACACTGAGATTGGTTGGCAAGAAACTTGAAGTACCAAGTTAAAGTTTTGTGCAATGCCGTGGTGTTCACGCAGCTCAGACAAGAAATTGCAAATGAACTCGGATGATTCCAATCTCAAGGACACCTCAAAATTGACCTCTGCCACATGCAACTGAAACATGTTAGGCATCGGGTTCTTGTTGATTGGTCCTGCGATGGATCCGGTTTGAAATGCAATTTTGGACATGGTGTGAGTTGGCGTGGATAACACTTTGAAACGTGGTCTGACATGATGCACTTGGTTGCACTCAAATTCAATTCAACGAGAAACACATTAAAACGACTCATGAAGCTGAACCTTTTTATATCTGCAGCACAACAGCAAATGCATCTTCTATGCAGGCTTTATGGACTGCCGGAACTGCCTCAAGTGGAATTCATTTAGGTTGCATCGTCTGGGTTCGCCGCTCTGAAAGAGTGTGAGCAGCTGGCGCAAATCACAGTCTCAGCATTTGCTAAATCATCTCTGGACGCCTTCCTGAAAGATGAGGAGGCACATCTTCCACACCAAAATTTTTGTTGACCCAGAAGCTGCAAGTGAACGACCCTGGATCTTGTGTTGATGAAGCAGTGGTCTCGGTCAATGTCTGCTGCATCCAACCGTCTGAAAGAGGACGGTTCCGGCTCACGGTGCTCCCCCTCTGATGAAGCCACACTTGAAGCGTCAGTGGAGGTAGATGAAGTGTCACTGTCATCATCCGACTGCAACTCTTGGGCCCTGGCCATCGTTAGTTGCAGCAACCTTTGAACACGGCTGCCATCAGGGTTGAAAGTACCTGCTTTGATCTTGTCCATCATGTGATAAATCTTTTTGCAAAGGCCAATCTGATTATCACGAGAGTAAATCAAGGCAGACTTGTAGTGAGAGCTCACATGGTGTCCAAGCGCCAATTGCTCCTCTGGGGTGAACAGCATGCTCTTTGCCGCACAGCTCAACATCGTGGCCTTCAGGCCGTGCACAGTCAGCACCGCCGACCGGTCTGGCCCTACCATGGGCTCCAGCAGTTCTCTTAGCCAAACGGTGGCCTCAGCGGTTGACATCTTTGTGTCTGCCCAATCGCCTTGATGTTCGGACCAAGAGCACAAAAAATGGCACCATTCAAAGCTGCATGAATCCTCTCTTGCACTCAGCCATGAGTCTGCCCAGTTTTCAACAGCCAAGGTTTGTCCCAGTGCAGTAAATGGCAGCAGCTCCCTCTGCTGTTCCTTGGTACGTGACGACTTGTGCTTTGATGTTGCCGCCTCCAACAAGCAAAGGTGGTCTGCCTTCGAAAGTTCCATGGAGACAGCATGCATTGAATCATGCCACCTAGCAGCTGCCATCATGCAAAAGAGAAAATGCCCAGCAATGACACGGCGATGCAGCGACTCATCCTGCAAACAAATGGATTCCAGCTGTTGAACCTCAGAAACCGTGAGCACCTCTGCCGGCCGGCGCACCCTCTTTGTCAGATATATGGAGTGTGAGGCACCCACAACACGTGCACTGAGCATATCATCAAGGCTGGTCTTGCAAAAGCCAAGCAGGGCATTTGAAAAGCGCAATGCTTCAACAAATTGTGCTGGCGTTGTTGCCCCAGCCTCTGAAGCGCGGAGGTGGCAAATGTAGGCGTACACAATTCCCTCGCTCTGGTTGAACGGGGACCCCAGAAACTTGGTTTGCAGCCAACATGAAAACCTCCACATGGAATTGCAACGCTTGAGAATTGTACCAGAAGACTTTGGTGCAAAAACATCATTGAAAATCTGTCCCAGTTCCTCGTTTGAGCACAAAGTACCAGCAAAAGTCAATAATGAGAGCCCAAGTCTGGTTGCATCAACCTCCAGTAACACCATGGTTTTGAACCTGGATAAGGATAGCCTGCGAAAATCATCATCACTCGAGACGACCCTGGTCGTCCTGAGGCGCTGGACTGTGGCTTCCAGTTGCTTGACAGGGCGTGGAATCGCTGCTGCTGAATCACTTGCAGTAACATGGTCAGACATGCCGATGACTGAAAACAAACTGGCAGTTGCAGGTCTTTCCCAAAACGACTTCTGCTTTGCAAACAAGGGAGATAGTGGACCCCTTTGCCATGGTTGCTTCATCTCAGAAAAATGTCCATGTACCTTCATGGATGCAAACTCATCTGCAGTGCGTTTCACTCCAAGGCGGCGTGTGACTTCACTCACAGTGCTCTGAGGTCTGGACTTTGGTCTGGGCTCCAAAAACCGTGGTTGGGAACCCTCCGACAAACTTGAGTTCTGTTCCAAGTTCTGTTCAGGGTCAAAAAGCAAGTCAGGACTGCCTTCAGCATCAAAACCTGCAAAACCATGCACATGAAGAAAAGAATCATCAGCCACATCTGAAAATTCATCACGCTGCAACCCAAAAAGGTCCTGCTGTGAGTCCTCACATTGACTGCCGTCAGCTCCAAGCTGTCTGGACTGAAATTGACGCTGCCAGCGGTCTCTGAAACCACCTTGAACCACAACCATTTGTACTTGTTTGAGTGTTGTACCCCCGTAAGAAGGAAACAAGTCAAAAGCCCAAATGACGATGACACTGATGCGTTCGATGCACTGGTGCCGTCCTCACGCACGTGCACGTGCACCAATGACACGTTTCTGTGCAATGAAACGGTATAGTGTCGTCCTGGGGCGGCACAGGGGGCAAAGAAATTCTGAACCTACGCGCCAGTTCAAGACCAATTGAAAGTAGAGTCTGAATCAACTCTGTGATAGTCCACAAATGCAAGGCCGTGACTGGCGGTGGCATCAAATTGTAAACACCCAAAAAATGAAGCTGACTGCACAAGCACTGATCCCCACAAAGAAGCCCAAACAAAATGACTGGATCGACAAAGTGGTTGGTTGTGCCCGTGCAGCTACAGTTGTGAAGGTGGAACTGTTGTCTGTTTTCTTTTTTAAACCCACCTCAACCTCACCCTTGAGAGGATAATGGTCATGTCGAAATGGAAATGGATTGAGTTCATGAGAGAACATGGTAAACTGTGTGCTGAAACGCAAGGTTGGAAACACAGTGTAAAAAATTCCTTATGAAAAATGAAGTACGCAACAGAGCAAATGATTTGCATGATGTTGCCAAGTACCAGGTTTTGCACCTAAGGAAAAATTTGTTTGAGTGTTGGGTTCAAATTTTTCAAATTGTTTCCTTCAAAGATAATGCTCTCACTTCGTGATAGCACTCTTAATGCAAACCAGGCTGAATTGGAAACAAACTTCAATGTCTTTCCAATCGGAATACCATCCTTGTTCTGACATCCAGTCTTGCACAACCTCACTAAAGCCTCATGCCTCATGTCAAAACTCTCCAAAAGATTCACTGTCTCAGGTCGGGACCAAATGGTATTTCGTTCTGGAAGCTCAAACGAACATGAATCTGCATGTTTAAAGTAACCACCAATCGCGTTGATGATCTCATCCCATTCCTGGTCCTTTTCAGTGACTGAGTCCGGATTGAAATTGCGAAGTGGACTTCCACTTCCACAAGGAGTCGATGCATGAATATGCACCCAAGGTGGACATGACGAATTCTTCCACTGTCGAATGCAAACAGCTACACGACTCAACGTTCCAGAACTCTGCACCTTAGCAACTACACCAATGTATGGGACCTTCGAAACTTCACAGACCTTTCTCAAGTTCGAATGTTCCGAACAACACAGTTCCACAATCGCAATTGAAGAACCCTGAGTCAACACCTGCTGCAACACACTCAGCTCACGAAGTTCTGCCAACTCAGCTGTCAAACCATCTGGAACAACAATCCCAAGAGCATATCGATGTTTATAGAAAGCTTTAGCACTCAAGCATTTAGTGAAAAGATCTGCTGGATTTTCAACACCACTTCTGTGTCTCAATTTCAACAAAACCTCTCTCATCTGCTCTCGTAACCAATGCAATCTTATCTCAATGTGTCGTGAGCGTCGTGGCACGTCCATGGACCTCACAAGTTGCAATGCGGAGCTTGAATCGCTCTCCAACCAAATCACAACTTCTTCTGGCTCATCGATCTCATGAAGTGCAAAAAGAAGACGGTGAACCAATCTTCCAAACGCAACACTTTCTTGACACACTGATTGCAAACCATAGAGCTCTGCCTCACATGAACTCAAGCTCAAAGCTTGTTGCTGTCGGCTCAGAGACCTTACCAAAGACCTCTCAAAGAAAACAGCTCCACCGCTAACACCTTTGCGGTTGTTGAAACGGTACGGTGCATGTGAAGCGTCGCTGAAAGAGTGGAGATGGATTGATCTCAGTTGAGTATCGTCAACTTGACTCGTGATGGTCTCATCTCTGCTCGGTAGACACAAGCATGCATGCATGTCAACATACAAGAATCTCAAAACTGCTTTCAATGCTTGTTCAGTTCCGTGCATCGGTTTTGCTTGCTGCGTCCCAAGAACAGACATCCATGTCTTCAAGTCATGACGCACCTGTGACAACCAAAGCAATTTTCCCAACGCGTTTCTGAAGCGTGAGTATGCTTCGTCTGACAAAGGTTTCTGAAAGTTGCTATCCGTGAGTGTTTTCTCCAGATGTCCCGAAATGTCAGGCACATTCTCAGACCCACGGGTAACACCATAATCCAGAAACGTAGAATCAAGATAATGTGGATCAACACCCAGAGTGATCTCAGAGGGAATCTCTTTCTCTCTTGATAACACGACCAATAAAGGTCAGGGATCCTCCCTCTTCTCCGATCTCTCCAGTTGTCTTCACAGGCACTACAGACGACAAAGTTGCAACCACATGTTCTTCGGCTTCCTTAGTGGTCGACAACAACAGAATGTCATCAACGTACACCACACACAAGCAAAATCCAATTTCATGACTATCTTTCACAATCTGTCCACCATACACACATGGTTCCAACGAATCAGACCAAAGGCCTACATGTTCAACCGTAAATGTCAAAAGCTGCAACCATGCCAGTGAAGCATCACGTAACCCGTTCAATGCCTTTTCAAGCAAATAGTAGGTCGCTTCACCTGATGGAAAGCTAATCGACAACGGCATTTTCAAGACAACATGTACAACAGTTCCCAATGGACTATGCATGAAGGCATGACTCACGTCCAATGCACGCAAAAGCATCTTCCGTGTCGCTGCCATCGCAAGTACCAAATGGACACTCTCGATTGAAGGAGTCGGACTGCTAAATCCCAAAGATCTAGCTGAGGAGCCACGATTGAAATCTTTCGCAGCAATCCTGGTTCGAACCCTCTCACTGCTCTTGTAAGCTGCAACCCACCTCGACTGGATCAAACGAAGGTTCGGAACAGCCTTCTTCATGTCGTCCAGTTCTGACTGGGTGATGATGCGGCCAGTCTTGCAGTGTTCTAAGTTCCTAACCTCCTCTTGCATACCTTTGAAACCTTGTTCCAAATCAAGCTCTTGCAAACTCTGGTCATCTATGATACTGTCCGGTTTCCAGACCAAGACATCTTGACCTCCAAGACGCATCTTCACAAAATCATGCTCATTGCCTCGATTGAAACAAACAGAATCAAGAGAACCAGAAAACATTTCTGGAGATGTTGCCGGAGCAAAAGACGCTGGACCTTCAAGTGTACCCAAACTCGCAACCAACACAGACTCACCACTACCAACCCAAAACCAATCAAAATCCATGTTTGTTTGAAGCAATTCCTCAGAATCTTCACGGATCTCTCTTTCCAACTGTTCTCGGTCGGTTTCAGCTTTCCTCTTAAACCTTCTAGTGTACTCAACCTGTGTTTCCGGCTGTCGCCGAGCGGACTCAGGTGTTGATACCATTTCATCATCATCGACCTCTTCTACTGGCACCTGAACCTGGGGTACAACTACAGGGCTCTCCTGAGAGAGTGCAGGTTCAACACGCCTTTCCTTTCTCCGTTGTTCCTCAAACTCAGCAAAACGCTTCCTACATTCCTTGTTGTGCCTAATACCAGGTGCTTCCATGCCACTCTCACATGCTGGACATCGACGAGTCGGTTCAAAACGTGATACGTCAGGTGAAATTTTCAGAACTCTCAGGACTACCAATAGCTACATCTGCAGTATCTGCTGGTGACGTAGGAGATGGAGTGACAGAAATTCGAGACGGCTCTGCTGGAACTTCCTGTGGAGTCACGGCAACGTTCGATCTTGCCAATGGCACTGCTGGCGCCAAACGCAACTCACCAGATTTCTTCTTCACACTGCTGGCCTCTGGCAAGACAAGTTTGGGCTGTGAAGGTGCCGGCAAACTCTGGCCTTTCAACTTTCGCAACTCTTCAGGAGGTAGCTGACTCATATCAGCTGGTGCAGTCCCACTGTCATTCACAATTTGGGGTCTACTACCTACAGTCCCAGTGTCAAACTGTGTCAAAACTCCCTGTCCCGAATTCAAATCCCATCTCAAAGGTGAAATAGCCCTGATGTTCCTAGCTACAAAACGCATCAACTCAGCTTTGCCATCCACACGAATGAAACCTTGCACAACTGGACCTCGTTCCAATCCCATGTGAATGAAGGTACACTCAACATTCCTTGTTGAAAGTGGTGAATGCTGACGAATTGAATCAGGAATTTCGGCCAGAACCTGAGCACCAAACAAAGTCGAAACTGGTTTGGATAACTTCCTTCCTGAAACCATT